CGGGACCCCAATCACGTGCACTCACTATAATAACCGTGAACGGCTAAAAATGAACATGTTTTAATAAATATGTCATTGTAAGGGGGGGTGGGGGGTGTCCTAGAAGTACAGGATCATTGACAGGTAAAGGTAAATGCGGGGTGTCATGACCCCGCCCCCTGATGGGCGCCATCATGGCACCTGTCATTCAGAGTGAACGAGTGCAGAGAGCGCTGATGTCATCACGTCAGCACCGCAGTGAGCACTGCCCGTCCATGCTTGTAAGGGTCACAGATTTTTGTACCACCGGGGCCTTGATTGTAGGACAAAGGCAGGTACTGAAGCTCCTTGTACTCTACTTCCCACCCTGGAGTCTACTGGAGCTCATGTACATGCAAGTGCAGCATGTCCCTGTTGCCATTGGGGTCTGAACATGGACTGAGAACATCTCCTTACACTCACAGACAGGAACATTGGGTCATTCATGATGTAGTTAGTATTCCTTATCACTTGAAAAATTGCCTTGGGGATGGAGAACAGAGAAGCAGGGAAGGGGAGGAGGACCTTGGTTCTGTACCACCTGGGCCTTGACTGTAGGACACAGAAGCATCCCTCTGACAGGTACTGAAGCACCCTGCACTCTACTTCCCACCCAACCACATCTTCAGTGCTTGTAAGGGTCACAGATTTTTGTACCACCGGGGCCTTGATTGTAGGACAAAGGCAGGTACTGAAGCTCCTTGTACTCTACTTCCCACCCAACCACATCTTCAGTGCTTGTAAGGGTCACAGATTTTTGTACCACCGGGGCCTTGACTGTAGGACAAAGGCAGGTACTGAAGCTCCTTGTACTCTACTTCCCACCCAACCACATCTTCAATGCTTGTAAGGGTGACCAATTGCGGCATGCAAGGTCCAGTTCAAGAGACTAAAAAAAAGGAGCCTTACAAGGGCCTAAGATTGCCCCACCTGAGGCCTGAACTAGCTGGCAAAGTACCTTCTCCCAGGTATTGGACCTACACTGTCTGCTACCTCATGCCACTCTTACTCTCTGCTTACCAGGTTGTGGTTGGCTATGTTGGAGTCATCTTCAGGAAAAGGGATGTAGACACCCAGCGCCACACAGTTGGCAAAGATAGTCATGAGGATAAGGATATCAAAAGGTCTGAGATCAAGTTTTAAGGAAAGAAACAAAATTCACGTGAGCACACCAAGAGTTGACAGAGCTTCCTATGCTCCTGGGCTCCACCTAGGGGCAGTAGTGCCATGCAAACTGCATTTATAAATCGGCCCCCATCTCCCAGGTGCAGAGGAGTCAGCCGTCACTGGTCAGGGGTTGGCCCAGTCTCCACCTACAGCTAAAATCATTGAAGAAAGCATAACATCATTGGAAAGGATACTTCCACTCCACAATGCTGATGCAGGCCCTTCGAATGGGGTTGTTGAGGTACAAACAGAAAAGAGCCCTGGGGCTGCGGTGCACCCCACCGGCCCCTTGGTTTTTATGCTTGCTGTAGTGCTGGCGCCTCTTGTGAGCCTGTGAGCTGCCGGTGGAATTCAGGGTATCGGTTCCATTCATCACCACTCCATCTACGGAATATCGCCAACAAGTCAGGACCGCCTCCGCTGTTTCCATAAAGGGCTCCGCCTCTTCGCTGGAGTACGGCGGCGCGGGCCCTGGGTGAGAATGACATGATAGGTTGAAGCCATTATTGTACATATCCATTTTTGCTTGAACCCTAATAGGAACTTTTCAATGAGGGCTCCTACAGTGACCATAGATAGGGAAGGTTGACCATGGCTATGGGCCAGCAGGGTTTTAGAATGGAGAGCAGACAATTCCCTGCTCTGCTTATCTCAAGGGAGGGATAGGGCCAGCTGCCAGAGGAGTGAGGGATAAGGAAAGTAAAGCTGCATTTGAATGGTACCCTGGACACTAATGAGCATTTATCCCTTGCAGGGCAGGGAAAGCCCCACTACCAGGTTCGTTTGGAATTTTGCCATAGAGTTGAACTTTTAGGGTGCATGGGGCTTTAAATGCCTCCTGAGGGTTATACATCTCTTCATCACACAGCACTTGCTCCAGACTAGTCACCCCCCACATCGGTGGTCAGAGTACTGCCCTTATATTGGTGGTGAATGCAATGCCTCCTTACAATGGTGGTCATTGTAGTTCTTCCTTATATCAGTGGTCTGTGTTGTTCCCCTTACATTGGTGGCCAGTGTAGTGCCCCCTTGGTGGTGAGTCAGTCTTGTGCCCCCTTTATTGGTGGTGAGTCAGTCTAGTGCCCCTTTATGGTGGTCAGTGTAGTGCCCCCTTTATTGGTGGTGAGTCAGTCTAGTGCCCCTTTATGGTGGTCAGTGTAGTGCCCCCTTTATTGGTGGTTAGACAGTCTAATGCCCCTTTATGATGGTCAGTGTTGTGCCCCCTTTATTGGTGGTGAGTCAGTCTAGTGCCCCTTTATGGTGGTCAGTGTAGTGCCCCTTTATTGGTGGTGAGTCAGTCTAGTGCCCCTTTACTGGTGACTCTTTCCAGCTCAAGGACATCCTTTCTGTGGACTGGTGACCAAAACTGGACCACATACCCCAGATGAGGCCGAACCAGTGATGTGTAAAGAGGCACAATTATAGAACAATCATAAAGACCCAGCTTTTCACATGAGCATGTGGAAGACCGCTGGATCAGAGCTGTGTTGGCTGTAGGTGGAGTGTGACTGATGGCACCTTTCAATGATAGAGCTGGGCTTTAGAAGACTTTAGGTTGCCCCCATAATGTCACGTCGATCTACAAGCCGGTCAGTGCAAGTCATGGTAGTGAAGCAGAAACACATTTTGCTGTTCTATCCCTTAATCTTCCTCTAGGCCTGCCAATCACATACTGCTGAGCTAAGTAGTTTTTGGTGGAAAAAAAAAAGACTTAGCTTAGCTCTTCATATCTCAAGGGATTTCCTTTCTGCAAAATAATTTTCCGACCCTATATCCTCCATGTGCTAAATCTGTAACAGCCACTGACCCGACACCTACCTTTTCCGTTCTCCTCTGTCTCCGTCATCCTCCTGATTACAAGGGACCGCCGAGTTTCCGCAAACCGTGGGCAACCATCAACGTCTCAGCAGTGGGGGCCTGGCGACTTCTATCCACCGATGGTCCAGACGCACCTTATTGTTCCTCCGGCATTCTAACTCTCCACTTCCTCTCTCCTAGGCTGGGAAGGAGAAAGGCACATAGAGAGATTAGTCGGATGGACAGATGTACAGCGGCTGGGTACAAGCGCCCAAGTCAACAGTCACAAAAGTGGAAATACATTATAAGAACGTCGTCTAGGAAAAGCCGGGTGCCCGGGAAGTGTTGGGGAGTCTCACCTGGTGATAATAGGGGTGCAGTTTCCTCTCCATCGCTTGCTGGCCCCTTTGCCACCAATGCCCAGATCCAGCTGGGTTTCCTGAGCTCTCTCGCTCATCCCTCCCTCCGCCCAGGGATTACCACAGATTGAATGCTGAGCCTTTAAAGCAGGTGGGGGGAGGGACCCAGGGTGGCGGTGACATAGGGAATCTATACACAGGATGCAAAGCCTCATTATATTAATATAGAGGGTTACAGATTGATGGAGGAGAAGTCTGCCCGTTTAGAAGCATCCTGACACAGATTCATGGCCATCAGTAAAGTAAGGGCATGCACACTAATAGAGAGAGGGAGACATAAGGACTGTCACTTCTAAGCACCCCTGGTTCCATGTGGACGGTCCAGCAGAGCGCCATCCAGTGGAGGGCATCTACAGATGAATGTTAAGCTCATTATAAAACACGTATCAGGCTTTAAGAAAGTTTTTGTAAGAACCTCAAATTTTCACCGGCCCAGCTTTCTAAGATGACAAAGAGGTGGCACTGAGTCCATGGCACACCTTGGAGCCTGGCCCACAGTTCATGCAAGGTGCTGTAGTCAATTGGTGGATGGCGCCGCAATGTAACCATAAGAAAATAAGTATTTTTACCAGAACACCTTGGTACCAAGGTTACATGGCAGTTTCATGGACCATGTAAATGGGGGCGCCATGGGATCTTCACTAGCCCACCATGGTACCAAGGTTACATAGCAGTTTCATGGACCAGGTAAATGGGGGCGCCATCGGATCTTCACTAGCCCACCATGGTACCAAGGTTACATGGCAGTTTCATGGACAATGTAAATGGGGGCGCCGTTGGATCTTCACCAGCCCACCTTGGTACCAAGGTTACATGGCAGTTTCATGGACCATGTAAATGGGGGCGCCATGGGATCTTCACTAGCCCACCTTGGTACCAAGGTTACATGGCAGTTTCATGGAGCATGTAAATGGGGGCGCCATCGGATCTTCACCAGCCCACCTTGGTACCAAGGTTACATGGTAGTTTCATGGACCATGTAAATGGAGGCGCCATCGGATCTTCACCAGCCCACCTTGGTACCAAGATCCTTATTTATCTTTTAGCTCCGGGCATATAGGCGAAGACAACACTCCATTTGCACCCCCATTTACATGAAATGGCTTCCACTGATATCACTGCACACTGGGAGCTTCTCACAATATGCATTAAAAGCTGCAGCAAGTCAGATAGAGTCCGCCTCACTTCCTGGCTGGAGGACATAGCATCACGTAGCACTTTCACACTGACACCAATGCTGGGGGGTTATTATTGTGGTCACTGACACCAATGCTGGGGGGTATTATTGCAGCTGCTGACACCAATGCTGGGAGTTATTATTGCTGTCACTGACACCAATGTTGGGGGTTATTATTGCTGTCACTGACACCAATGCTGGGGGTTATTATTGCAGTCACTGACACCAATGCTGGGAGTTATTATTGCTGTCACTGACACCAATGTTGGGGGTTATTATTGCGGTCACTGACACCAATGTTGGGGGTTATTATTGTGGTCACTGACACCAATGTTGGTTTTTTTTATTGCGGTCACTGACACCAAGGTTGAGGGTTATTATTGTAGTCACTGACACCAATGTTGGGGGTTATTATTGTGGTCACTGACACCAATGTTGGGGGTTATTATTGTAGTCACTGACACCAATGCTGGGGGTTATTATTGCGGTCACTGACACCAATGTTGGGGGTTATTATTGTAGTCACTGCCACCAATGCTGGGGGTTATTATTGCTGTCACTGACACCAATGTTGTTTTTTTTTTATTGCGGTCGCTGCCACCAATGCTGGGGGTTATTATTGCGGTCGCTGACATGAATGCTGGGGGTTATTATTGCAGTCGCTGCCACCAATGCTGGGGGTTATTATTGCGGTCGCTGACATGAATGCTGGGGGTTATTATTGCAGTCGCTGCCACCAATGCTGGGGGTTATTATTGCAGTCGCTGACACCAATGTTGGGAGTGATTATTGCGGTTGCTGACACCAATGTTGGCGGTTATTATTGCGGTCGCTGCCACCAATGTTGGGGGTTATTATTGCGGTCGCTGCCACCAATGCTGGGGGTTATTATTGCAGTCGCTGACACCAATGCTGGGGGTTATTATTGCAGTCGCTGACACCAATGCTGGGGGTTATTATTGCAGTCGCTGACACCAATGTTGGGGGGTGATTATTGCGGTTGCTGACACCAATGTTGGGGGTTATTATTGTGGTTGCTGACACAAATGTTGGGGGTTATTATTAGTATTCCTCCTTACTTCTTCCTCAGAGTCTACCTTAAAGTTTATGAGGGAAGGTGTGAGCACTGTGAATAAGTATTTACATTGTTTTAAGCACTTGAAAATGCCCATAACCTCCTAATACATACATTTTGAGGGCGCTGACAATTCCCAGACAGGAGAGTCCTGACATGAGGCCATTGCCTGCAGCAGCAGGTCGAGTTCTTCCTGTCAGGCCTACTTGGCTTTGGGCCTAACGAGACGCAAAGCGTGCTAACATGAGTGACAAGCTATATATGAGCCATATCGTTCCTTATTTCACATAGCAGAAGGATTCTCATCCTCCTCTGCAGCTTCAATAGGCATACTACACACAGAGCTAGCGGGATCTGACCAGCACTGCCTGGCAACGTTACACGTACCGGACTACACCTCCCATCTCCCTCCGCGGCCGTGCCCGCAGCCGAGTCTGTGTGGGAGTGGCCGCGGTGCATTGTGGGCAGTGTAGTCCGGAGGTGAGCGGCTTCCTGTAGAAAGTGTAGAGGGAAGAATGTAGTGCAGGGATGGGGCAGGACGCCGGCTGCTGCTTCTAGACACAGACAGGTCAATGTGTGGAGAGCCAGAGGGCACACAGACACCCACAGAGCCGTGCCATGGAGGAGGTGGACCGCATCCTCATCCACACTCTGCGTACCTTCGGCACGTAAGTAGCCGTCAAAGGGGGAGGTCATGTGACTGCAGCCCCTCTGCACCCTCAACCTCCTCCTCCGTCATATCTGGCGTCATGTATGATTGTAGCATCATGTCCCCCCATCCCCCACCTACATGTGACCTCAGCTCCATCATTTCCCACCTCTAGGGACTGTCGTCCCCATCATGACCCACATCATGTGACCTCATGCATTCATCATGTCTCCCCATGTCCTCCCCATCATGACCCAGATCATGTGACCTCAGCTCCATAATTTCCCACTTCTAGGGACTGTCCTCCCTGCTTTGGTCCACATCATGTGACCTCATGCATTCATCATGTCTCCCTTCAAGGGACTGTTCTTCTTGTCATGACCCACCTCCGCTCCATCATTTCCCACTTCTAGGGACCGTCCTCCCCATCATGACCCACATCATGTGACCTCAGCTCCATCATTCCTACTTCTAGGGACTGTTCTCCTCATCATGACCCAGATCATGTGACCTCCGCTCCATCATTTTCCACTTCTAGGGACTGTTCTTCTTGTCATGACCCACATCATGTGACCTCAGCGCCATAATTTCCTACTTCTAGGGACTGTCCTTCTCATCATGACCCAGATCATGTGATCTCAGCTCCATCAGGGACTGTCCACCCCATCATGGCCCACATCATGTGACCTGTGTGACTGCAGCTTTATTATGTCCCCCTGTGTCATGTGACTCCATGTGTAAGGATCTGCAGCTTTATTATGTCCCTCAAGGGTCATTCCTTCTCATCGTGCCTCCCTAAAGTGTATCTAAACCCAAAACCAAAAATGTGATATAACACACTTCCTGTCCTAGGATGACAACGCTCACACACTGTACTGTGTCTATGGAGGAGCAGTGTTGTCACCCTACTGATTGACCTAAAAATCTCTCCTCATCTCCTGCCAGAAATGCACTGTGGGCTGCAGTGCCCGGGAGGGGGAGTCGTGTCATGCCCCTTGCAATGACTCATGGGACTTGTAGTTCCACCACAGGTGGGGTGCCGAGGTTGCCCACCCCTGTCTTAGAGTAATGATTTTATGAAATAAGTTATTCTTTGTTATCATAGGCCCACTAAGTGCTCATTCACATGGGCCCAAATCTCTGCCCCCCGAGAGCCACAAGGTGCTGCGTGCATCCTGCCAGTACAAAGCAATCACAGGTTGTATGCCGGTAAACGCTGCTCCTGGGTGGCACGCCAGGCGAGGTCTCCTGAGTGGCACACCAAGTAAGGGCTCCTTGGTGGGACGCCAGGCAAGGTCTCCTGGGTGGCACGCCGGGTAAGGTCTCCTGGGTGGCACGCCGGGTAAGGTCTCCTGGGTGGCACGCCAGGTAGGGTCTCCTGGGTGGCACGCCAGGTAGGGTCTCCTGGGTGGCACGCCGGGTAAGGGCTCCTGAGTGGCACGCCAGGTAAGGTCTCCTGGGTGGCACTCCGGGTAAGGGCTTCTGAGTGGCACGCCAGGTAAGGTCTCCTGGGTGGCACGCCGGGCAAAGTCTCCTCGGTGGCACGCCGGGTAGGGTCTCCTGGGTGGCACGCCGGGTAAGGGCTCCTGAGTGGCACGCCGGGCGAGGTCTCCTGGGTGGCACGCCAGGTAAGGTCTCCTGGGTGGCACGCCGGGTAAGGGCTCCTGAGTGGCACGCCGGGCGAGGTCTCCTGGGTGGCACGCCAGGTAAGGTCTCCTGGGTGGCACGCCGGGTAAGGGCTCCTGAGTGGCACGCCGGGCGAGGTCTCCTGGGTGGCACGCCAGGTAAGGTCTCCTGGGTGGCACGCCGGGTAAGGGCTCCTGAGTGGCACGCCGGGCGAGGTCTCCTGGGTGGCACGCCAGGTAAGGTCTCCTGGGTGGCACGCCGGGTAAGGGCTCCTGAGTGGCACGCCGGGCGAGGTCTCCTGGGTGGCACGCCAGGTAAGGTCTCCTGGGTGGCACGCCGGGTAAGGGCTCCTGAGTGGCACGCCGGGCGAGGTCTCCTGGGTGGCACGCCAGGTAAGGTCTCCTGGGTGGCACGCCGGGTAAGGGCTCCTGAGTGGCACGCCGGGCGAGGTCTCCTGGGTGGCACGCCAGGTAAGGTCTCCTGGGTGGCACGCCGGGTAAGGGCTCCTGAGTGGCACGCCGGGCGAGGTCTCCTGGGTGGCACGCCAGGTAAGGTCTCCTGGGTGGCACTCCGGGTAGGGTCTCCTGGGTGGCACGCCGGGCAGAGCCGTTGATTGGCCAGTTCTGCCTGAACATTGCTCCCCGAGTCTCTTCATCAGATTTCCCGAACTGTCTTCAGCGTTTGGGGTGATGACTTCAATCAAGCACCGTTGTCATGGCAGCACAGATCTGCCTCCACGGGTCACCTGACACATGTCTGCATTCCTGTCCATGTTCACCATTTTATTTTGGAAACGCCTCTTTTTCTTTGCAGGGAAATTTCAGAAGAAGTGCAGAGCGTGCGCCAGTTCACCACGGAGATCATTGTGGAGGCGGTGGTGCGATGTCTGCGCGTCATAAACCCCTCCGTGTCCTCCAACCTCGGTCACATCCTGCCCCCCGGGATGTCCGCCCGCTTCCGGATCGGCACCAGCCTGGCGCAGGCCTGTCAGGTGAGGAGGGTCCATTGGGGACAGAGAGCGCATCTTTGCTAAAGGAGTCACTGACCTGGACCATGGGTGATGTCAGAACCGCCAAGCTGCGTGTTTCATTCCCAGAGGCCATTGAGTGAGCGCGTTTTCAGAAGGAGGTCGGCAATGGCGGCCTACGTTCTCCTCAGTACAAATTTCCTCTAATGGATCAGAGCAATTATAAATAAAATGCACTCGCCTCGCAGCCGTTCTTGCGGCTGCCATATTGGTTAGCATCACGCCGGTAGATCTTCAGTGGGCCGGATGCTCCTGATAAGTATCTTCCCTCAGGGACCGTCTTCAAAGCGTCTCCCGCTGCGGAAAGCGGCTCCATAGGACCCGATGGGAAGGCCAATGCACGTCCCCTTTGGGCTTAGGGTTACCCCCATGTCAGGCTTTATATGTATGAATGGGATGGAACTAATATTTGCCTCTTTGAATCCTTCCAGGACCTGGGGTACAGCGGGGAAGTGGGTTACCAGACCTTCCTGTATAGCAGCGAGCCAGATATCCGGGCGCTTCTGATCTTCCTAGCCGAAAAACTGCCCAGGCACTCCCAGGAGGATGCCCACCAACCAGCAGGTATGTGGGCGACTTGGGGCTCAGGGGAGAGGCGCACACACTGTATTTAGGCCCGGTTTAACCCTTTCCTTGCCAACGACGTATGCCGTACGTCGCTGGCAGCGGGCCCCTCTATACAGACTCTGACTCTGTTCAGCCGACGTTCGGCTTTTACACTGGAAGCCATTCTGGCGGCTGAGCTGTAACCAGATCGCTTCCAGGGGCAGGTTAACAGTACCCCCACCCCCACCTTGCTTCCCTGCCCCTCCTGCGGGCCCGGGACCAGCATCATGGGTGTCAGCAGGTAGAAAGGAGAGACTGGCGACTTCCCCCCCCCC